TGAAGAGACAAGTGTTGCATTAAAGTATATATGCTCTCACGGTTTGGGACGTGGGACGGCTGTTCTCTGAGAATCCCAGTTGCTCTGCTTAATAGCTTTGGCCTGCTATTCCAGTTTGGAGGGCTTGGGGTTGCAGCTCAGTGATGTAGTGCCGTCAGTTGCCCAGCTTGTGCAAGATCCTGGGTTCAGTCCCCGGCATCGCTAACAAATTACACTTACATAGTTATTCATATGTGCATGCACCAGAGGCATAGCGCATCTGTGGAGGTCAGAGGACAACTTTCAGGAGTTAGTTTTCATCTTCCACCAGTGGGTCCCACTGAGGGAATTCAAGTCATTAAGTATGCCGGCAGGAGTTTTACAGTTTTCTTTAATCGAACCAGACTCATTACAAATGCCCCTGCTTACGCTTTCTTACTTGCTTCAAGTTATAGTTTCATGTTCCCATAGTGTTCCCTTGGCATGGTCAGCTTTAAATTTACTTTTTTTTTTTCTTTCTAGTTTTAAGTATTGAACCCAAGGCCTGACACATGCTTGGAAAACACTCTGCCTTTGAGCTATGTCCCCAGCGATGGTCCTGATTGAACCGTATGCTCATTTTATTTCCTCTCCTATTCACTCGGTCCGTTTTCCACTTACCTTCCCTGGCAGGAAAAGATTGCCCAAGTGAGGTGGGAACTGATGATGAAGACAAAAGAACACACCAGGAAGCTTCACCAGATGAATGATCTGGTGGTGGAAAAGAAGAAACTCGATTCCAGGTTGAACACACTCCAGAACCAGCAGGTGCGCTCCTTTGCTTCGTGCCCTTTGCAAAGTCTAAAGCCCTGCACAGCACTGGCATGGAAAGAGACCTTGACCCTGGACCACTTCCAGGCCGTCTGTCCCTGGATACTGTCTCTTGGCCTCCTTAGAGTGGCTTCCTGAGGGGACTGGCATCATCCAGTGCCCCGTGTGTGTCATGAGTGCATATGAACACTCCTCTATGGGCTTTACCTCAGTCTTGGAGATATACGGTATGAGGCATAGGAAATGATGCTAATGGGCTCCCGAAATTTGGTTGGTGTCAGTGCCTGCTTTCAATATGCTGATTTCACTTGACAGGAAGCGGGGACCTTGAACTACAGAGTCCTACATGTTACCTTATGGAATGCTTGCTATTTTTTCTAGAGGATTTCACAATTTGTCACTGTGGAATCTATAGTGAGCCCAAGAAATGTCCTTACTACAGAGCACATGACGGGTATCTTATCCTCTAGTAGCCTGACACCTTCTGTAGTAGCTGCAAAAAAACAAGCAAACAAAAAGCCTGCCAGTCGGCTTTCTTGGTCCTCCATACCTTATATTTTCTTTAAGCATCCTGGAAATAATTTAAGCCAGGTATTTTCAAATTATGATCCCCTGAGGAACAGCATCTGTGTCAGTTGGGAACTTGTTCGAAATGTAAACTGAGGTAACTGGCAGAGAAAACCATGGGCCACAAGGGTGGCCCATGGGAACGGACAAGTTTTTAACCGTAAGTGACATTTGCATAGTCTTGTTCATAAGATTACAGAAAATCACAGTTTTCAGCTAGGAACGAAGAAAGACCATGCCCTAAGGTCACATGTGCTTCAACTGTGTGCATCATTCATAGCTATTTTTATATTTTTTACTTGAAATATCTGTAAAAAAGAAAAGCTGCTTCTATACAGGCAGCCCCCATAGCAGATTTTAACTGTGCTAGAATTCGAGAAGCTATAACTCCAGTGTGAAGTCGTCTTCTCCCATCTTAGGTCCCCTTAGTTTTTCTTGTCTTTGTGTCTCTCCTCAGTCCTGGTAATGAGCTCTCCAAGTCCTTAAGGACTGATAGATAACTTAAAGTTACTTCCAAAGCAAGGATGAATCTCAAAAGTTGTCCAAAGGTGCACATTTTAGGTGTGAGGCTTTGGTAGTGGATTGAAAAGTCTCCCTCTGAGGCAGTAGCTATTTAAATGGACTTTAAGAGAGGTGTTTTTGTTTTTGTTTCTCCCCCAAACAGGGAAATGCCTTCCAGGGTCCCCGGAAAGCAGATGAAGTGGCAAAACGGAAGGTCATGGAACTGGTCCAACTGCAATCAGAGAAGATCCTGGCCTTAAAGGAAGAGATTGCTGTTTTGCGGAAGAAGGGGGGGCTCATCCTTCCACCCATCAGACACCCACAAGTGGATGAAACGAACTTAACGGACGAATGAGTTTGCTGTCTTCTCATTTCTGCTCGAGTTGCCGCAGAATTCATCAGCTCCACTCCCCCATCACCAAGGACAGCTCTCCCACTGTAAAGCCAGCCTTAGTGAGAGCATAAAAAAAGGATCCTGCTGTGTGAATTAACAACGTTTAGGTTAGAAATCACTGTGTCATTTGACGTGTAGTTATGACTGTGTTAAGACAGTTAGCTGCATTCGGCCTAACTTGAATATGAAGAAGGCTGAATCTTGTAAGAAAGCTGCTGTTAGATATTATGGTGTCGGGGGCGGGGGGGGGGGATCTGTTTTTCTGGTATTCTGAATACTTAGCCATTGGCAAACAAAACTATTATTCAGCAACACATGAGGAAACTCCCTTTTCTTAGCCCTTGGATCTTTAGAAAATAAACCATTTGTGTTAAATAGTCTGTGAAAGGACATAAGAGGAAAAGGCAAACTGTCTTGCCAATAATAACTTAGAATAAGAAATGCAAATGTGAGCGTTGCTATTGTTGACTTCCGAAGGCAGTTATTTGAGGGCTGGGGACTGAGGGATTGCAGACAGAGGCAGGGAAACGGCTAGCTTTGTGTTGGCAGAGGCAGCTTCCTGAGTCACCCACAGTTTCTGCACACCCTCAATTCCAAGGCTCACATTTTCCAAAGCAAGTCAGTCAGGGAAGTTGTCTCTCTGGCTAGGCTCTTTGGGACTCCATCAGAATTCTATGCACTCCTCTCCGGCTTTCCAGTGTCCAGTGCCTTCTGTCAGGGTTCATTTTCGAGATGAAATAGATTTTTATATCTCCAAGGGACTAACTCTAATAGCTACTTTTGACTATTTTAAACTCAAGTGTGTTTTTCTGGTCTCAGGGAAAGGTTTATTGAAGCTCATCACTGCATCCCTCACAGACTGAACACCCCGAGACTTGTTGTCCTTGTAATCCTGTCACTTTGGATTCTTAGGTGTGCCATTCACACCTGTACTATACATCTCTGCTGTGCTAGAGGTGGTACCGGAGAGTCTTTGCGAGTTTCTGTACTGCACATCTGTGAGCTCATTTGCCAGAAATAAAGACAGACATGCCCATGCCTTTCCACAGTGTAATTCCACTCCTGTAATCCCAGCACTTGGGGAGGCAGAGGCAGGCAGATCTCTGTGAGTTTAAGGTCATCCTGGTCCCCAAAATTAGTCCAGGACAACCAAGGCTACACAGAGAAACCCTATCTTGAAGAAGAAAAGAAAGAAGAAGAAAAAGAAAAAGAAGAAGAAAAGCAAACTGGTGCTAATCATAATATTTGTTTCTCATTAGTGTGTAAAAACTGACTCAAAACTTAGCTTTAAAAGGGGGGTTATCTTGGGGCTTGAGAGATGGTTCAGTGGTTAAGAGCACTGACTGCTCTTCCAGAGGCCCTGGGTTCAATTACCAGCCCCCGCATGGTTGCTGACAGATGCCTGTAACTCCAAGATCTGACACCCTCACACAGACACACATGCAGGCAAAACATCAATGCACGTAAAATAAAAGTAAATAAAAAAGACCATATATCTCGCCAGAAGTTGGAGGGTTTGAGGGGCTCAACAATCTGGTAGAAGATTTGATAAACAGGATCTTAGGAAGCCTGGGGGATTTCATCAGTCTGTTCAGGGAGAATCCCAGAAGTAGGTTGTCTATATGCTGCTTTCAACGGAGTTCACCAAAATCCACTCTGACGCTTACTTTAGATCACGAAGACAAAAAAGCAAAAATGAGGATTTTTTTTTAAATGAGCTTCCAACAGTCTGGCAAGTTCACTTCAGCTCAGGTTTAAGCTGGGTTAACAAAGACTGCAAACATTACCTCTGCCCATTCCTCCTCTGGAGGTCAGTGACCTGGAAGGCTTCAATGCCAGTGTTCAGACTCATACATCTTACTACCACTCTTCTGGGCTCACACCTCTGTACTATAATTTCTAAGTTCCTTACACTCATTTCAATAAATGCTTTAAAGGTACTGCCTTCCTGAAAATCATGCTGCGTTTTGAGGACAGTTTTGGTCTATGTGGCCACCTTTATGGAAAATGGATGCAAGGCCACAGAAGGGCAGGCGTGGTACTCCTTGTGGCCAGCAGGTGGTGCACTTGCCCCAAACAGGCTGAAGGCGGCGGGTCCCAGGCTACCTAAGATCCTGTGTACCAAGTTCTTTGAGGAGAAGCAGTCCGATACAATTCTTAAGAAATTTAAATGTGTCAGGCTGAATTTCAACTCTTCATTTTCCTGAAATACACAACCCCTCCCCATACAATGAACACTCAAAATGTTTTGAAGACTTGCATTAAAAATTTAAGTTTCCAATTAAATCCAGTCCCACACATAAAGGTTTTAGGCTACACACACACACACAAACACACACACACACACACACCTACAGATGATCTTTTGGCGGAACAGCACTAAACGTTGGTCTGCAGTGAGTCAACTCCTCCAGCAACGGTAACTTCAGAATGTAGGAAAGGGAGCCTGTTAGGGACCGCATGTTAATGGGCAGTGTAGAGCTATGCCCACCTCCGTTCGTTCCAGTAAGAGGGTAATGAATTTGCTTCCTCTCTGTGAATCCCCTCTTGGAGTAAACAGTTATTAAGGTCATTTTCCATGAATCCAAACACCAAGTTCATTGTTTAAAAAAAGACAAAAAATATGAAAAACATCTGCTACCGTTTCCTGATCTTATCACTTCGTGGATTACAAGTCCTCACGAGCGGTTATTCTCCCGGCCACTCACAGACTCCTGACATGGAAGGAAAACGCTGACTCAGGCATGACTAAGTTGACGGTTACGAGGAAGACTAAACATTTATTTAGAAGTTACAGTGTTTGTTTTTACAGAGATTCTTTGCCACCGATTATTGATTCTGGGAGGTTGTTAATGCTTATAGAGTGCTGTACACATCTGGGTTGTTTCTGCTGGCATCTTGGGAAATGTGTCCCGTGCCACCAAATCCGAGTAGCTTCCAGGTGGTCCCAAGCATGGCCTTCCCTCTTCCCTCTTTGTGCTTTTCATGAAGAGTGTGCTTAGCATTCTTCGCCAACACACCGAGGGCCTGCTGCGGCCCCAGGCTGCTGCTGGCTCTGGGGCCACTTGAAGCCTGCCAGTCTGTGCTACTCATTTCTGCCGGACTCCAGTTACCTTACCTGCCTCACCATTTTCCTCCTGTGCCATAAAGGGGAGGATTCCATATCTCTCCAGAATTATAGAAACACATATACATTTTATTTACAAGTGCATAAATATATAAATATGGCTATAATAGAAAAATAAATACCAATTTTCTCTGTTTCTTACAAACAAACAATACATAGTCTTTCTGGGATATTAGCTTTGGCCTTAAATTGTGGGAGGTGGTGTTTCAAAAGACACGTGAACTGACGGGCTAGGAGAGAGGTGTATCCCAAGTTCCTGTCCCGTGTAGGTCCCCGAAGAGTGCTGGGCACACCAGTCTCCTCCACCCACTTGGCAGGAGTCAGAACTGTCTACTTCTTCAACTGGTGCGAGGCCTAAGCAGCACCGGGGCCCTGTGGAGGGGGAGGGGAAGAGGCGACATTAAAATCCAGACTCACCAAACAGTCCTGAGCTAATTTCTGCCTGTGGCTACTCACACTGGCCCTGGAAGGGAAGGACCCAACACCTTTGTTGGTACAACAGATCTTAGCACTTGGCTTTTGGCCCCTGGCTATCCAACATGAAACACAAAGGGAGACCCAGCTCTCTAGAGATCCAAGCTATGTCCTACCTCACAATCCATTCCCCTTGTCCAACCAAATCTAGTTTTCACAATGATTGGCCTGGCTCTGATTTTATATACATATAATTTAATGGACCCTAGGGACAGGGTCCTGGATTATCATGGAAGGGACATGCACTCCTGGAAGCTAAGAAACACCAGCTAATCCTCTGAAGTACCAAGCGGTACTTGTAGATTTGCTTGGAGTAGGTACGGGGGGAGCCATGGGCAGGGTTGGCCCCGGAAGAACAAGTTCTGCGGAAGCACACAGGTACAATGATGATGTGTATGCCAGAGTGGCTCCCTGATGACTGACGAGAACCACTCCCTAATTGCAGCATGACTCAACAGAGCAAGGGGATGAGAGAGGCAGAAAGAACCTGCGAGCGGCCCTGAATCCGAAATGCGGAGACCGAATAGGCTTCTTCCTTTTGGAACAGAGAATGCCTTTCCTCTCAGCTTTGAGGACCACAGTTACAGTTGGAATCAGACTGGTAATGCCCCATGGCCCTTCAGGCCTTTATTAGCAAAGAAGCGTGGCCATTCACCCCCAACTCAAGTCCCTCTCCTCGAAGCCATTGCTGGGTTATAGGTGAACTTATCAGACAAGTTCTCTTTGCTGCCCCTGGCTGACCTGAGTGATACGGAGGGTCCCACGAAGCTTCCAGCCCAGGACCCTCAGGTGCCCTCCTCACTGCTGCCTGGCATGTGGTGGCAGGTTGCTTCTGGAGGTGACAGCAATCTTGAGGTCGGAGCAGCTGGTGACTTGAGTCATCAGGCAGTGTGTATAAGAAAGAGCCTTCTTCCGAGCTGGACTTGGGACCTCTGCATTGTACGAGACCAGATGGGGTGGATAAGGCAGGGCAGAATGGGCCTGGATTCTCATGCCCCGACACCTTTCCTATCATCGAGAAGCATCAGAGCAGGTCAGAGCTGAGAGCACACACATCCTTCATTCCGTGTGAGATGCCACACTGAATTCGGCCAGTGATAGTTTAGTTCTATTATGAGAGGTGACAAACTGGCTGTTCAGGGGCCTCTAGGCAAAGCTGGTTCTACCTCAAGGGTTTTGGTGAGCCAGTGAGTGACAGACGCTAAGAAGCAACTGAAGGAGGAGAAGGAGGATCTTAACTGTGCACACAGCACCTCACCCATGGGGCGACTGTCCCAGGGCGTACAAATGCCAAACTTGGGGATCCCTGCAGGAAGCTCTGCTCTGCTCTGGATGACAGACTTTGGACATGAGGATCTAAAGGGAATGGGGGATTTGGAGACTTGGGAATAAAAGCAGGAATGGGAGGGGCCTGGTTACCTGGCAACTTGCTGGCTCTGAGGGTCATATCCGTTGCTGACAATGGTCTGCCTCAGTAGGCTGTGAGTGTCTTCCCGCTGCTTGAAGGAGAGAAGAATGAAAGGTCATGCCAGGAGTCCAAGGAACTTTCCAGTGTGATGGGCTGCCGTTGACTATAGGGAGCCCATCCAGCAGCCCTGGATGACCAGGGAGAAAGACAGAGTGGTAGCTCATTATCTTTCCAATATGTGCCCCTGGGGACCAACTCAGGAGCCCATTACCTGTGCAAGTTCCCCTGGGCAGTGCTGCTGAGGCTTCCTGCCTGGACAGCCCACTGCAGCAGCCGGGCAGCCCCTGCTTCCATGCAGTCGGCTGACACAGGCCCTCCCATTGATGAGGTAGGGCTGCCCATTGGCTTGGTGGCCTGGAAGTCCTCCCAATGGCACCATTGTGTACTGGCAGGAGGAAGACAGGAGGGCACTTCGAGGAAAAGCCAGATCTGTTGTGTGTTCTGGAAGAACAGAAGACAGAGGTATTCTTAACTTCTGACAGCTGGAAAAGCCCCACACTCATCTCGTCAGGGGATAGAGGCAGGGAGGTGACTGTCCAAGAGCCTGAGAATACTTTTCCTAAGTCTTCCCATCACCCGTTTCTTCTTTAAAGTGAGACAGATAGAAAGACAATGGAAAATGGCTTAGGGAGCGATGATGAGTGAAAAGGGCCATCGTTTAGCGGGGGGACTCAGCTGTGGGCATTGCTATTTGAAGCAGAAATCCGTGGGCAAGTCAGGTTAGCCCAGTAGCAAGGCAAGGCTCAAAGCAGCTCCCACTGGACAGAGAGGAGAAAACGGGATGAGATGGGGACAAGATGAATAAGAACAACTGTTTGAGAAACAGCTTCAGAGATGAGGAAAAGACAGAGCTGATCATTACCCAGCACCAGAGGTACAAAAGGACACTTGCTCTTGATAGAGGTGCGCAAGCCAAGAGGGAAGGGCCCAGCTGCAGATAATCACCGTTCCTGTGGGACTTCTGGAACCACCTGACCCTCCAGGGAGGCAGAACTAGACCACCTGGGCCGGCCTGAGCGCTGGCCTGCTTGGTGGGCTTAAGATCCTCTCTCTCCCCGACCTCCTTCCCCTCTGGGCTGAGGTGTGGTACTCACTCTGCTTGGACCAGGCCCTCCATAGGCAGAAGGGGATGAAGGTGACGATGATGAGGACGATAGAGCCCAAAACAACCCCGACGATCAGATACGGCAGGTCGCTGGCCCGTGCCACCATGGCTCCAGTGCCCACCGGCCGCTCCACACTTTCTAGTGGTGGGGGCTGTGGTGGGGCCAGGGTTAAAGGTGAGGGCCGGCCAGGCTGACCAGAAATTTTCCGAGCTACAGTTGAAGGCAAAGCTCACGTCAGTATCTATTTCACAATCATTTTCTTTACAGCAAACAGAAAAAACGAAACACCCCAATCATCATGGATGTAGGGAATGGGGCCAAGCTCCCGAGACAAGCGCCTCAATATCCTTTATTTGAATCATGTGCCTAACTTGTCATGACACTGGTTCCTAACGTGCAATGTGTGGCCGAGGTGGCCTGAAACCTATTTCAAAACACAAGTCTGTGAGCCAAGCACCGAGTCAGATGAGTCAGAGTGGACATAGGTCATCGTGTTTTCTGAAAGAGCAATTAACATGTGTGAGGGCAGCTCGGGAACTCGGGTGGAAGAGCTTGGCCGCAGCTTTGCTATTCCTGGGTAGAAGGAGAGATCGGAAAAGCTAGGTATTAGCTTGGGTCACAGAGAAGGGCGTTTGAGGGCTCTGAGACAGGAGGTAATTGGTGAATGCAAATCAAAGGTGGACCCTATGCTCTTCCAGGGTGGGGGGGTTGTTACTGCAGGAGAACCCACATAAAAAACCCTGGCGCATCCTCTCTCAGCTTTCTGATGTCACAGCCTCCCGACCTACCTCCACCCATCTCCCTTCTGCTTCCTCGGGTCTTGGGAGACAGTCCCAGTTCCTCTCAGTGTGTAGCCTCTCCTATCCCCATGATTCCCCCATGTCCTAAGGGACCTCCAGAATCAGGAGACCTGCTTTTGTCAGGCACTTTCGGCATCCCCAAAGAATCTGCTGCTCAGAAACTTTCCTGGTCCTTCTCTTCCCCCATTCCCTTTGGATCCATTTCTCTTCTCACCGTCTCCATTTCAATAGATGGCAGCCGCTTGGGCATCCCAACCCAGCATGCAGTTGGCCTGGGCCCTGCTTACACCTCCTCAAAAGCCATGACAACAGCTATTCTCCTCACCTTTATTTCAGAGCCCCAGTTTTCTACCCTCAGAGCACCCATGACCCTATTACAAAGAAACCCAACATAGACCCTCTTCTACCTCACGGTCCTTGCAAACTCCACTAGCTCCTCCTCCAGCATCCTTCAGTGACCCACTGCCACGCTGAGTCTCTGGCCTCTCCCCCGAGCTGCCCCTTCTCTTCATCCTCCCATCTGGAGTCACTTTTTAGGTTTGGCATGTCCCCCAGGCCACTCCCTCCTCATTCTAACTTCAAGAGTTAATCTGAAGAGACCCAAGAAGACCTTAAAGTCTGTTGCTTTCCCTGGCTGCACACAGGAGGTTCTCAGTGAGTATTTGTGAAGTGACTGAAGGCCATGCAAAGCGAGACAGAGAACACAATTGCCTCTGCCTCAGAAGAGTGCTGTTTTCTCTGATTCCTTTGTGATCTTCTGATCAGGTCCTTGGTAAGACACTTTTTTTTTTTAACTCGTTTTGAGTATTTAAAAATCAGACATAATGATGCCTACGCACCTGAGCAATGTGCACACATTAACTAATGCACATATGTGTGTGTGCGTTTAATGTTTTAGTGCAGAGAATAAACCTAGGCTTGTAGCTATATGAAACTGTCTGAAGTAGGCTCTACCACATCTTGGCTCTATAACTTTTGCCAAGATGTAGCAAAAGTTATAGAGGCTCAGATTTCCTTCCCACCTCACCAGGATGCAGTTAAATTAAATAAGCCAACCAATATAAATACCCAATGACAAGAAATATAGCATGCATAGAACATTTACACCTTTAAGACGGGTGCTATTCCTATGAGTTCATGGGTCAGTGAATTCTCAAGTCCTTGAAGCCATTATGACGGCATATTAACACAAAGCTCATATTAACACAAAGCTCAGGCGAATAAGAAGGGTGACAACTATGAGGAAGCCTGGGATACTTGGGAAATCAGGGTCTCCTTGGAAAGGGACAGCAATGCGGGGTGGAAATGAGACTGCCCCACTCTTCGGGAATTCCCAGGACAGGAGAGGACCCTGGGAGAATCACCTTTGGTCTCGCAGATCATGACATTGCTGAACTCGCTCTCCCCTCCTTCGTTGAAGCACTGCATCTTAATGTCGTAGGAGGTCTCCGGCTGCAGGTGGCTGATGGAGTGCCAGTACCTGTCCCCTGGGAAGGAGAGTGAGAGCCTGGTGATGTACATATTGTCTGCTTGGCCTTGATCACACAGACAAAGCTGTTCGTCTAAGCTAGCGTCACTGGCAAGAGACGTGCTGGAGAGAGCTGTCTCCAATGACCACCCGTGTTTCTGTTGTGCCATGGTCATTAAGAAGGAGGTGGTCGAGCTTTTTAACTGCACAGCTCCATGTGTGTCGCAGATCGAGATTTTACGACTCAGGAGGTTTTGCCAACACCTGAGACCCCCTTGCTGGTGAAGGAAATTCTGTCAACACATCTGCTCACCTTCCACCGTGTCCTTCTTGTAATCACTGTCATTGTCACTGTCTGTGGGTCGGTAGTAAATATAGAAGCCATGGATCGGGGTGTTGTTGTTACTGGCTGGAATGTACTACATGAAAGAGAGGACAGACATGTTTACGGTGCATTAGAGAGATCAGCGAGGCAAAACCTGCAGGCCGTGGAGCCAGCAGAGCCCCAGTCCAGGGCTTGAACTTCATGGGAGACCCAGCAAAAATTGCTGAATGAGTCCCTCAGGCTCTCTGAAGAAGGCTGCGGAGATCGACATTATTTTATTCTGCCGATGGGCCCGGGAGCTTTTAGAAGCAAGAAACAGACTGTACTTCTTCAGAGACCCTGACCCTTTTTGCGCCTCCCCGAAAGCATGAAGGGACACTGGACAAGCACCGGGATTCCCTATGGTATCAGAGGAAAGGCAGGAAGGAGGATGGAATGCAATCAGAGAGTGGGCACCAGTTTAAAAGAGACTGCCAACAGCAGCTCCGACTACCGTCACCCTCCCAGGTCCCCCTCACAAGGGGGCTTTTCAGGCATGCTGAATGGGGAGCCAAACCCACAGGCAGGCACGAGAGGGAACCTACCCACGCTGCTGGTGGCTAGGACACTTACCATCCACTTGAGCATGATGGTGGTCTCATTGACCGCATCGGTGAAGGTGATGTACGGGCCTGCCACGGGCCTTTCATACACGCGGCCGCTGTAGCCTGAGACCACGTAGGGCCTGGAGGGGGCACTAGGCTCGCTCTCCCCTAGCATGTTCAAAGCACGGACTCGGAACTTGTAAGAAATACCTGTGGGAGAGAGAGAGCCTCCCTGAGCTTCAGAAATACAGTTGCTTCACCCACTGCCCTTCAAGGCCCAGCCCAGGGAGGTCAGGTCTTCCCTAGAGATGTCACACAGGACCCATATGAAGAAGAGTCAACCCTCCTCAAGCCAGACAGGAAGTGGCTTTGGACTCCTCTCTGGAGAGAGGAAGGAGGAGGGGCCGTGGGGCTGAGGCAGAGTCACAAATTCCATACCCATGAGTACTATGTGGGGGATGAAGGGAGGACTGAATTCCTTGTTCCTTCTCCTCCTCCTCCAGGTGCTCCCAGGGCAGAAAGGACCAGGCTCCTACCTTTCTCCAGGCCTGTGATCTCCACAGAGAGCCTCGAGGGAGGGATGGCACTAGTGGCCAGGATCCAATCGCCCACTTTTTTGAGCTTCTTATACTCCACACGGAAAGACTGAATCGGGAAGCCGCCATTTCCACGGGGAATCCACGTCACGTACACTGAGGTCTCGGAAGCCATGGAGATGGTGGGTCTGTCTGGAGCTTCTGGGGCTGGGATGACCATGCACAGAGGAAATGAGGTGATGCTCTGGACCAACTAGACCCGGCCTGACCCTGACAGGGCCTGTTCATTCCCACAGCCCTCTCACTCTTGTTTGTATCCTAGCGTGGAAGAGGCCCCGGAGCTAAAACTTCTTCATCCTCTCTTCTGCAACAACAGAGAATTGCTACTCTCTGGGCCTACAGACTCAGTAATTTCAGTATTTTCTCCAAAAGACTCCAATCTGTATTTGTTTTTGTTTTTTTTTTTCACTGTGGTTTACTAAAGAGATGCGAAGAATACGTTACTGAGACTCCTGGACTATGGAGCCCTAATCTCATTCAGCCTTCTGTGGCAGTCTGTTCTGATTGCTCATTGCCTGCCCCTCACTGCTGCTGGGCTTACGGGAGAGGCGGCTGTGGTCAGGCTGGCTGCTGCTCTGCAGACCGGCACCAGGGTCATCTCTCTGGATCTGCTGCTCCTTGCTGGCCACGATCTCGGGTTTGGGCCGCCGTCCTGTGTGAGAGGGATTGAGAACAGCGAGTGAGAGAGCATCTATCCCTTCCTTTGTCAAAATTTCCTTTGATTAAGAATCTGCCAAGAGCTGCAACAGGAGCTACTAATAAGATTTCAGGACACTGAAAGTGTAGCATCATTCCCAACCTAGGCCAACTCTACTATGCTATTTTTTGGACCCTGTGCTTGGGAGGGATGAAGGGATGAAGAGAGACTCAAAAGTCCCGAGATGAAAGGTAGCACTTTAGCCAAGGCACCTAAGTCCACAGAGGCAGCCACTGGGGAAGGGCAGAGCTGTGGGTGAAGAGCTGGACGAAGCATACAGGACTTTGCACCTGAGCTTGCTTTAACTTGCTCGGGCTTTTGGAACTCTGCGCTAGGCACAGTGTTTGGCTTTACCTGTACGGAAGGTGACCATGGCCGTCTGGCCCTCGCCAGCACAGTTGTAGGCTGCCATCTCCACTTCATACAAGCTTCCAGGATCAAGCCTGGTAAGGGTGAGGCGGTGCTGGCTGGCTGGAATGCCGGAAATGGTCCAGTCGTCAGAGGAGTTTGTGACCTGCTGGAGAAAGCGATGGGGGTAAGGACCCACTTCTTCTCTAGTGTCCAGGAGGATTTCAGGTTGAGCCCAGGATGGCAGGAAGAGGGAAAGGACCACGGGTCAGCTTGGGCGCGGGTGGGACTGTAGAGCTCAGGCTGGTCCTCTTGGTCTCTCAGGTAATGATCCCATCAAGGGACGTTTGCAAGGATAGCTAGAAGGCCAGACTGACAGTGCTGGCGACTCCCCCAGAGGCCACACCTCCATCTCCCGCAACCTCCTCATCTAATGTTCTCTCTGCTTACAAAAGGAGCCAAACACAGTCCTTCGGTTCTTGTTCTAACGGGGGACGCCAACAAGAACGATGACAAAGGCTCTAGCAATGGAAAGAGCACCGTGGAGAGCTCACTGGGCGTGCACTACCTCACCGCCCTCAGGTCCCAGCAACTGATCTTCGTCCCATTCCCACGTCTCAAGCAAAGAGCCTAAGCTTAGAGAGCTGAGGAATTAGCCCACCGCTGCGGAGCTAGTGAGCACAGAAACCCTCACTGGAGTCCAAAGAGCATGCGCAGAATGTGACCTGTTCTCGCGAGAGGATTCTGGACGTAGAAGACCCCGAGTTCAAGCTCTGGCTGTACAACCGTGAGCAAATTCCCTCACTGGTGAGCCCTGAGCTGTTCATTTCTAAGAAGAGGCAAATACAGTGTCTTGGGTTGTTCTGAAGTCAAATTAGATGACCTGGCACAGGTGAGGTCCCCAACAAATAAACTCCCGGCCTGTCTCCTAACCTTCTCTGTATCCTTCATCCTCTGAGATTTCTCACTTTAAAGTTCTTTCTCTATCCTTGTTTTTGAAGCTTAAAGATTGGTGTGTGTTCAAGATTTAAATGAATTTTTAATGGTTCACTCTCTTAAAAAAAAAAAAAAATTATGGGAGGGCTCCAGGCACCCAAAGGCAGTGGTGAAAGATTCTTTCTTCTCGCCCACCATCTTTTAAGAAGGACTTAGTTACCAGCTCCGTGCATCTCAGAAAGCCTTCCAGAGTGGAGAGCTGGGGCTTGATGGAGAGAGCAAACAGCTGCTGGGGAAAGCTCTTATCCCTAAGCAAAGTCTTCCAGAGCAGAACAAAACCTCTCATTCAAGGCAGGGGGATGGTCTGAGCTCATTAATGTCGGGCTTCCAGGACTGGTTCCAAGGGGAAAGGTTTTCACAAACTGCGAATCCCCAGTGATGTGGCAAACCCAAACACAGTAGCCCGGGTCTACAGTGGACTAGATGAAACTCGCATTGTCCGCGTGAAAACCAGCCTGACTAACTCCCAATGTCCTGCAGAAGACAGGGCACGAAAACAAATAAACAAACACCCCAAAAGCAAAACCGAAAAGCAAAAACAAACAAAAACCCTCACAACCCAAGGCTGACTTCTGATTCCAGCACTCTCTTTTTTTAGGTGGTGACCGTTAAGCTAGGTTAGTTCCATGAGCAAGAATGGCTTTCAAGACATGCTTGCCACCTTGGCAACGTCCACCTAAAAGCGCCAACTGTTCCACAGGGCAATGCCTAATAGAAGCCAGACATAGCAGGGGCCCCATCCTGACTGTCATTTCCCTCTACCCCTCCTCCCTCTGTCCTCCCAGCACGGTCCTCACACTTCCACTGGGACCCAGAAAAGAAAATAAGAAACGGGAGGGTAATTAGTCACTGTCACACACGCTGGCCTGGCATTTCCGGATTACCCTGGTGCGGTCCCTGCCCGCCTCCCTGTTGTGGGAGGTAGCTTCAGAGCCACGTATTGGCCTGAAAAATATTGTTTTTACTCTCACACTGATTTCTGTCTCTTGGGTACTATATTTGGCCTTCCTTGATCTTTGTCTTTAACTCACAGGGAGGTGTCTAGTTACATAGGAAAATAAGGAACGGGGCTAAACAAGACTGTTTCTTTTCACAAAACCATTCGAACCTTTTGCTGTTCCTGGGGGTTGGGGTAAAGGAAGAGATGGTGGTCTTTCCTATACCTACATGGGAAACTACATGAGGTACAGGATGCTGCTCTGCCTTAGGCACCTTTCTGACCACCTGAGGTTTCTGGGAACTTCTCTGGTTCCCAGGCCTTCTGGAAGAGCCAGACAAGGAGAAGGACAGACTGTGAGAGGCCAGTGATGTTTGCAGCAAGGACCTGGCTTGTGCAGCATCAGAACATTCCACTGTGTGAGTGTAGTCTTGTTTTCGTGTTTGCTTTTGAAGCAGAAAAAAAAAAAAAGGGCAAATATTTTCTGCTCCAGTTCACATTTCCATATTTTCTTCCAAGCATTTTTATAAGAAAAAAAAAAAAAGAAGTCTAATATGCACACAAACTCCACATTTAGAGTAGGTTGTTGGTAATGAAATTTTTAATTCACTTAAAACCAGTACTTTTCTACTCTCCGATGCCATTAGAAAGAAAGAGCACAGACTTGTGGTGAACGGAAAGGATTTATAAGGAATTTCATCTCATCTTCCTTGCACAGCTTTGAAGGAGCGTGGCAGCCTGGCGTGGCCCTGTCTCTGCATCCTCTCACAGTCTAGAATGTTCTCCCTCATAGCTCCTACAACAGCCCCTAGGCAGATTCTGTCTGGTGAGGGGAAACAGCTAAGATCTCAACAACCTGATGTGCCAGGAGCTCTAACGCCTGCTGGTTAAACAGGAGTGACCACATTATCGGAGGACTGGAGGGCATTTTATACCCCACAGGGAGAACATGTGTTCCCTATATTTATTTGCCTGGCTAGAGGGACCTGTCTGGCCTGCTGAAGTTCCCACAGATGTGTTTTAAAAAGAGCTTGCTTTGGTTGGAAAACAAATTCAAATAGCATCGCCAAAATATAATGGTGGGGGGAGGGGAGGGGAGAGGATGGTGATGGTGACAGAGGTGGGTGAGTTGTCTCTGGACTTGAAGTGGGCACCAACTTCCAGATAAATGAACACAAAGGTTACACCTGAGAGTCTATATGGAGCCTCGGCCTAGACTTCTGAGAGATCACCTGGCTGGATCACCACTAGCTTTCCACAAGGTGGTAGGGATGGGCATTTGAAGAGATGGAAGGGGAAGGCACTTCTGGGGTGCCTGCTGGGTCCTGGCCTCAGGGCAGGAGATAGAGGGACTCACTTCAGCTTCACTAAGAAGGAGCTTGCGGGGGAGGGGGCACAATGCCAGGGTCATACCTTACGATGTTTCACCACGTAGTAGAGGATGGGTGCCCGGCTGCCACCCTCATGTCGAGGCCGCCACACCAGCTCATACGAATCAGTCTTGGAGGTCCGGGGGGAGCTGAGAATGATGGGTGCCTCTGCGGGGGCTACCTGGTCCTCTCCCAGGCACTTCAGGGAAGTCGGCTGTACTGATGTTGGGGGCTTAGCAAGCCCAGGTTGCTCCTGAAGCATCTGGTCGGGTCTGCTGGGTCTGCTGGGTCTGGAGGGTGGCATGGGAGGTGTGGCAGCGACCGGCTTAGTATCCCTCCCGGGTCTCAGGGTCATGTCTGAGGACCAAGCAGGAAAGAGAAGGGAAGGGGGAAGGTGTTAGCGGCCCTGATCGCCTGCCAGGGAGAAAACAGAATAAAATCAGAGAAGACCTGAGATCACCATCAGCCTGCCCCGTGACACACAACCAGGCTCTGCAGAAGAGAGAAGGCTGGCGGCCTTGTCCTGCCAGAAGGAAAAGGAGACCTGTCCGCTAGGACCAGGCCTCTGCAGTTTGGAGGCCAAAGACAAGCCACTTAAGTCTCTGTAACCTGCTGCCTCTATCTTCAGGATACGTGTTTGAATGATGCCAAGGTTTATATTTAAAGTTTTTATTGCTTTTTATTCTCTCTCTCTCTCTCTCTCTCTCTCTCTCTGTGTGTGTGTGTGTGTGTGTGCAGGAGTCAAAGAACAGCTTTGGGGAGTTGGTTGTCCGTGTGGGTCCTGGGGCTTGACCACAGGTCCTCAGGCTTAGCAGGAAGCACTTTACCTGCTGAGCCATCTCACTGGCACTGATGTGATGGTTTAAATGTCAAATGTCCCCTACAGTCTCATGGGTTAAATGATTGGTCCCCAGCTGATTTTTTTTTGGGGGGGGAGGTAGGGTCTGTCTGGAGGAAATAGGCCACAGAGGCATATTTCTGAAGGTTAGTCTTTCTCCCAGTCCCTTCCTCTCTATTCACTGTCCGCCATATAGTTTCTGTCACGGAAACTGACACGAAGCTCTGTCTTATTATGGACCCAGACTCAGTGGGCCCTAAGTGCTCTGCGTTAAAAACTCCAAAACCACGAACCAAAACAAGAGTCCTTCCCTCTAAGTTGTTTTCTCCTTCGAAGTTATTTTCTTTGTCACGATGCTGGAAAAAATGACACAGAAAATTGGCAACAGAGAGGTGGGATTGGTGCTGCAACCAAACCCGCCACGAGGTTTTCGCGCCTTCAGGGCTGATTTAGAGGGGGGTTTGTAGAATGGACATGAGTGCTAAAGCAGCTGTAAGGTGCTGTCTGTAGAGGCTGATGGGCTTTGGGTGGGATCTCAGGAGAGCAGGGTGTCGATGAGATGACAAGGAGGCTGTCCTCGGGCCTTAAGACAGAACAAGAACTCTGCGAGGAGTCGGACTGGAAACCATGCGTGTGACACTGTGGCAAAGACATTGCGGGAAGCTACATTTGAAAGTGACTAGAGGAAATTTCAAGGAAGCCCGGCACCCAGGCCACGGTTTGGTTACTGTTAGCTGACCTGTCTCAAGAGTTAGGAACAAGAAGGAATGAGAAAACGATGTGGAAAAATAGACATTTGGCTGAGGAGGTTGTTAAAAATCATCAGAGCCATTAAGAGGAAGCCACGTATTTTGCACCAAGATGGTTCAAAACGTGTCTTGAGGACATGTCAGGAAATGGCTCGACCTCACTCAGAGCAGCCTTAGAGGTATAAAGGCTTTAAGCCATTTGAAAGACTTTGCTTTGAGAAGAGAACTCTTGGGCAACGTGTCACAAGCTTGTCACACAGGGAAGTGTTGCCGCTTCAGGCAGCCAGCCAGACATTCATGGACCACTGTGTTGTAGGGGTGATCCAAATAGCTTGGGCAAACAAAAGCTTTGGTGCCATCCACAGGGCACTGGTTGAGTAGACATGCAGAACGCAAGAGTTGTGAGGTCAGTGGCCCTTCCTCCCGTATTTTAAGGGAAAGTCTGGGAGGCAATGCATAGCAGGATCACAGTCCCTATGGAGAGCCCTTAAGATGGTGAAGCAGGCAGCTTTGGGATGAGTAAAGTCCCCAAGATACATTCAAACACAGAATATTTGCCAAGCAAAGCAACTGGCAACACATGGCGCTAACCCAAGAGAGACCATGACCACAGGGTCAGGATGCCCAAGACTGCTGAAGCCCACATCCATGTTTTGCCCTAAACACTAGATATAGAGTTACATGACTTAAGGCTTGGCCTGCTGGGTTGTGGTCTTGCCTTGCTCCTATCTCTCCTTTCTGTGTCATTCCATCTTTTTGGAATGGGTGTGTTTACTCTGCGCTATTGCAATCTGAAAGCATATGACCAATCTTTTATTTTGTAGTGGCTCAAAGCTAAGAGTCTGTCTTAAGTCTTAGAAGAGACCTTCAACTGGTACTTTTTAAAGATTTTTTTTTCTTTAAATCTGTGTATGTATACATATGAATTTATGGGTGGGCACTTTGTGAGTGCAATTGCCTTTGGAGGTCAGAACAGGGAGTCAGAGACCCTGAGCTAGCATTACAGGCAACTGTGATCTACCTGACATTGGTGCTGGTGACTGAACCTGGTAATGACGGCACTGAACTGTGCCATCCATTGTAGTTTTATCTCTGAAATGTTTCCCATGGTTTCATCTCCTTTATAGGCAGAGGGGATCTTTCTCACGTTCTCTACCTCACCGGATCCTTGCTGAAAACACAGTAGATGCCAGGTCAGTATAAGCATCAACTGAAATGACTCTATGAATGAATCTAAAGAGTTCCATTTATTTGAGAAAAGAACTGTACAGTCTTCCTGCTCCGATTGGAGCTTCTGACATCTGGGCCCCTTGCACTCACCTGGCCGTGCAGTCCTCAGTTGGACCACCGCGTGGGCACTCCCCACTTCATTCTCAGCCATGCATTGGTACACGCCTTCGTCCTCAGGCCCGACACCGATCACACGCAGGGCTCTCCGAGACAGCCGCAGGCGCTGGCTGGAGGTGAGGGGCACGGCGTTCCTCAGCCACAGAACAGAGGGTGGGGGGTTTCCGCGCACCTCACAGGTGAGCTTTGCACTCTGGCCCCACGGGATGACCAGCTGGGACAGCTCCACAGTGACCTCAGGGGGTTCTGCAGAGAAGACACATCAGAATCGGGAGGGCTGCATTTTCCCCCCTCCAGGATGACACAGGCTAGTGGAGACACAGCTAGTTGAAACACACTCTTTCCTCCTCCCTGGCAGTTGGGTTCTCTCTATGGGAGGAGTGGGGGGAGGGAGTGTCTACATACCTAAAGAGCACACCAACCAAGGTCCAGGGCCTAAATCCTGGGATCTCAGAATCTCTGTTTCCCCAGTGTGCTTCCCTGCTTTCAGCTCTGTGACCTTTCACAACCTAACTCTCTCTGAGCTAGGGTATATGCTTCTGGAAGGGCCAGGAAGGTTAGAGGGAAGATTAAGGAGGAAGTCCGTAAAGATGCTCACCAAACACCTGGACATTGTAGAGAATGACAGCCACACCGGGTTCCCCAACCCCGTTGCTGGCCATACAGCGGTAGGTGCCTGAGTCCTCCTCACTGGTGGTGTCGATCAGCAAGTTGCTCAGCAGGAATCGGGTCTTGTTGTAGGCAGCAATGCTGGACCCATCCTTGGCCCACGTGACTCGAGGTGGCGGGATCCCACTGGCCACACACTCCAGTATGAGACTCTGGCCTTTGGTGACAATGACAGTCTGGGCTTCCAGTGGGTAGATGATGCGGGCAGCCTCAGCAGTGGACCCTGGAGAGGGGAGGAGGGACACACAGAGTTAAGACTTGGACTTCTTTCAGCCTGTGATGGCCCAGCCCCAGAAGGATTTCCGAGAGCATGGGCTTGAGATGAAAAAAGTCCCTCTGAGGCTCACAGCCCAGCTTATACAATGTCACTTGTCAGATTGTTTCGCCTCAAGTCCTGCTTGACATCAGGCAGTGCACGCTGAGCCTGAGGACAAAGTGAGACACAAGGATCTGCTGGGCTCCAACTCGACTTCAACATCCAAGTCAGTGTGTCCCTTCCAGGGTGGGCAACCCGCTAAGCTGAGCAGCAGCCACTGTTGAAAGTCATACACTTCTTACACTCCAAAGTCCCCAAACACAAATCAGTGACCCTGTCAGGTGCTCAGAGGCGAAAGCAGACATCTTTCTCAAAGCTGGGGAGAAAGTGCACAGACTGGCTGCAAGGCAGACACTCTTCAGCGTCCTGCTATCCCAGGATCCCTGCAGGGCCAGCCACTGGCAACTCCAGTTTTTATAAACCCTGGAACACACAGTTTTAGAGACTCTCTATTTCTACTTAGGAAGAAGAGAAAGAATTTTGCTCCATTAGCTTTGGGAGAAAATCCACCTCAGGTGCTCGGTAGTAGTAGTTCACTGAGTACTTGGGGAACCTTGAATGGGTGCTTGGGAGGTGAGGGTGTTTGCTCACGAATGAGGGAGCCTGTGATACCTCTATAGATTTTCTGCAGAGGGAGACATTGGGAGTAAGGAGCAGAAGGCAGGCCCAGAGGCTATCCACAATAGTGCCCCTTGCATGAAGCCTCTGTGTTCTACATTCCCACCCAGCAGAATCATCCCTCCTGCAAAGTCACACTGAGAAGCGGGAAGTGATTTGCCCTCCACAATGAGCTATAAGAGCAAGCAAGGCTGGGGTGCCGCCACCCCTCTACCCCTAGGCTCACAGACCCCGAACTTGGTCTGCCCCCAAGGTACCCCTCTCCCTTTCCAGCTTTGCTGGCCTCTATCCACAATAGCCCATCGACAAGTGAGTCTGGTCCTTACGGCGCACACGCAGCCGGTCACTGGAGCCGGAGGTTTTCACTTCCTGGGTTACTGGGTTGTAGGCGGCACACTTGTACATGCCCTCATCCTCCTGGCTGGCATTGACAATCTGGAGATTCCCTGACGGCATGATCAGGTAGTTGTCTGTGAAGCGTGGAGGGGAGAAAGAAGATGCGGTGAGTTTGGGCCCGGAATCTTAGTCAAGTCTGAAACTCCCTTAGAGCTGAGGTGTTCCGAGGAGAATCAGACAGAGCCTGAAATGCCATTCTCCACGTAAAACCTAGCGTGGGCAGAGTGCCAGAGTAATGAACAGACCCCTACCCTGCTTGGCTGTCTGCCCCTGAGTTAGTGCTTGAGTATGAGGATCATCTTACACTCTCAAGGAAGCTAGAGGAGGGCAGAAAGGATGCCGGGCTTAGGATCAAGCTGGACCTGAGCTCTGAGTCTACAGGATACTGTGTGATTTTGAGGAGTTAAGCAGCCTCTTAGATCCACTTACAAAAAAGCAGGGTGCCTGCTGCTAAAACACTATTAAGGCAGAGGTGCGTGCCACACAAACGGGGAAGAGGTGAGTTTAAAGAACTGGCTTCAGCACTTTCTACCCCTCTGTGTCATGGTCAACAGTCTAAGCCACCTGGTTCTTGAAATCCTTCTCTGGAAGAGGAATATTCTGACCCCTAGCCATTGCCCTCCCTGGGTCGGCTCCTGAAACCACGTAGTGTGCCTTGCCAGCCTGGAAGGTTTTGTCTGCTCCTGATCTAAGTGTGTCATGAGTAGAGCCTGAAGCATGTACACAGGTTTCTTGGGCAGGAGGCAGACTGGCGACTTCTGGACAGCCCAGCAACAGGGTGGCCCCCAGTTTCCCGGCAGGCACAGCACTGGCCGTCAGTCAGCTCTGAACTCTGTCCTGCTGTCACCTCCTGGGAGTCAGGGTGTCACTAAGCTTGGTGCCTGCCTGCTGCTGGGCCACCCAGGTGTGAGCTGCTTAGGCAAGTGCCAGATGGAGCGAGTCTTGCCTGGGGCTGCTGCCAAGGCTCTGCTGGGCACAGGAATTAGCGCTCCTGCCTTCTCCTCTCTCCTCTCCGCTGTTTCTGAGTGGTTGGACCAGGGTGCTGACATTTCAAAAGCAGCTTTCTGTCTTTTCTGAGTTGTTCCCCACCCCCACCACTAAGATTTTTAATCACAAACATACCTTCTCTCCATAAGCAGAAACATCTATAATATGAAAGGGATACATTTTGAGTTACAAGGCCATGGCAAGTTACGTTGACTTGGCCTTACATGTAAGTTTGTTATGGGATGGGATGACTTCATCTTAACGGACATACGCCTCCCTGTCGCCAATGTGGACCAAACTGCGGCCTCCCCTAGGCCAACCATCATGTCCACTGTGGTCTGAGCAGGAAGCTGTGAGAGCTGAGATTAACCCCAGTGCCCAGGAAATGGGGGCAGCTGTGCAGCTCCACCAAAAGACTGTTTTACCATGTGGGGGAAGCTTCCCGCCTACCAGGGAATGCTGAAGCTCTGGGGACACTGTACTTGCCAGACAGCCTTTCTCTACATGCCTGGGGACCGGCTTGAACAGGGAGCGTCTGGAGTCAGCCATGTGCCGAGTGCCTGATCAAATGGCAGCAGCTTGGCAACACGTTCCAGGGCCCCACAAGATGATTTGAAGTCCCCACGACGGGACGGAGAACACTCCATCATGGAAACTGGCCCCTTACGAGGACAGCTGGCTAGCCTGAGGTCGGGGCTGTCAGCGTGATCATGGGGACTCAGGGAGGTGGCGGCAGAGGAAAGCAGATGGAAGCCAGATCTCCAGGGCTTTGTGTTGCTGTCCCTACTATTCCTTACCTCTAGAGGCCTCCAGCCACTCCTGTTTGACACTGTACCGGACCTGGGCTTTGGGATGGCTCTCAGGCAGGTGGCAGGCAATGACAGCTGTGTTCCCCTCATCTACTTCGATCACATGCTGTACATCTAACTTAAAGTCCTGGAGATCTGTGGAGAGAAAGGAAGGCTCCATTCAGACCTAGCAGGTTTGTGTTGGAAGTCTCACTAAATGGCTTCAGAATCTACTGGGGGGCATAAGAGAATGCTGAGAGAGTTCTAGGCCTCTGGGGGGGCTATAAGGTTTATCAGATTGAACTGCGAAGCCCTCATCACTGTACAGATGAGGGTCCATCACTGTGTTGACAGACTGCACAGCCACCTCAACTTGAGGTCTATATAAACATAAGTTTGGGGAGGCATGGAGAATGCTACTAGAAGATGCTCAGAATGGTTTCTTCTGTGACACTGAGCCCTAAGAGTAAGCTGCTTCTACTCAGCTGTCCTGGGTATGGGTCACAGTCAGGGCACAAATGTCCAAGCACAGTTGTCAGGATCTGCAAACGGACACTGAAGCGAAGAGTGAAAAGAAATGTTGATGTTTTCTTCCAGTTCCATCAAGAACAGCCTCCCAGGTCCTTTTCACACATTCGCACTGAAAAGTGGCTCAGTTACCAACTACGATCATAGACAAGATGCTGCCTCCCAGGACCTACAGACTCTAATGACTACTCCTCTCTTGGGGGTGATAGCTGGGGCCCTGTGGATGCCCTAGTGATTTTCCTAGGTAACAAGAGATCTCCCAGGACACCAGGAAATCCCAGACGGCACCCTAATGTGGAATCTGAGAGAAGCTGAGGGTCTGGACACAGGCTTTCGCATCCTCTGGTGTCCCATGGCTATTTCTTCTGTCTTAGCTTTGAACGAGGACTGGGTCTACACTAGAAGAAGACAGAGACCAGCCTGGTGTGAAAGCAGGATGTTTCCCAAATGATCCGTGTGTCTAAAAAAAAAAAAATCTTTTTGCATGGGCCAAGTCACTGATGCTGCTGAAAAGCTGGGCCATGTCTACAACAAAACCACATTCCGAACAGGAAACTCGTTTTTCAGGATTGTAGCCAGATCTATTTTGAGAGAAGGAATAAAGACTACAAAGAAAGGGATGAAAATATTTTACCCAGACACTTCTTTTTTCAATGTGGCAACTGAGGAAGCCATGGAGGCCCACTCTTAAGAGTACAGACCAGTCCAGACTTTGCTCAGACTCCAGGCACTAGACTTCCTGCAATTTCGCTGCAAGATTCCACCTGCTGGCAGTGTTGTTTCCATGGGCCACCCAGAAAAGGTGAGCAGAGTAGGCAGAAATAAGATTTCTCAGAAAACATGAGAAATAACCACCCCCAGATAAGCTATAGTCACCTTGGGGAACCTGGTGATCAAGTTACTGGCAAGGTCAGGGAGGCTACCTAGTTGGAACTTTCTAGAAGTTGTTAGCTGGGCCGCAGTAGGGAAGGAAGCCCACTGTTGTGCAATGAAAAGATCATTGTGCCTTTCATTTCAGTGTTAAACTGTTCACTCTTGAAGGACAGAGACGAAGACTTGTTCATATATGTCCTCTGAGCCTAACTTGGGTCTTGGCTTATGTTGACAGTATGATGTTAAATAAGTGAAATCCATGGAAGGTAAGTTTCACAAGTTAGATGCTCATTTACATGACCTCCAAACTCAAAATCTCTCACAAAGCTTGGTTTGTGTCCTGAGCTCAAGACAAGGTCCTGACACAAATGCTCCATGAATATTTAATTATAGTGTGGCCAGCAGCAGTTGTTTTGGAGAAAGAATGTCTGGTACTTGGGAGGTTAGATCCCCTTGCACTGGAGTTATGGACAGTTTTGAGTTGCTCTTCGGGCACCGGGAATTGAACCGGGATCCTCTGGAAGACCAGTCATCTTAAGTCCTTAATCACTTGTGAACGAAGGATGCTGGCATCTTCATCTTTGCACTGGAGCCTGCAAATTATGTAGCCCTGAGCTGGCTGAGCCCCTTGGTAAGTGCGACGGATGAGTTTCGCTCTGAGAGGAAGAAGATAAACTACAGGAAAAGGGGGTGCCTGAGCTCATGTCCTAGCCGAACACAGGCGGTGCTGCTCCTTTAGAACACGAAAAGGCCCTAATCCTCCCTCAGGGTAGGGCGCCTTGTACCTGCCAAGTCAGGAAGCTCCCCAGAAAGCGAGCTATGAGAAACTGCACTTCAGAAGCATCTGGAAAATTCCTCAGGCGCTGAGAAGCGCTCTCATCCACGGTCTAATAAATCTAAAGCCACCCCACCAAGAGCTGTTTTCCCCACCCCCCTCCTTTCTTTACATCATTCCAAGGAAAACTGCCTCAAGCAACAGTGTGCTTAAGCCTAGCAGATCTAGCAGATCGTGTTGCAAGAAAGATGTGAGCAAGTGAAAGAAGCCTGGCACTGAAACACCATCTCCATCATAATGGCCCCAGGCCCCTGCCCACCACAACTGAAGGCTCAGCCCGGCACCCACCGCACCAACCCAATGCTAGAGCACTGGGGCGTCCTTATGGTCCTCTTGGCTCTCACCGCATCCTCCGACAACTGTTAGGCTGTGCATTCGGGCAAGCATGAAGCTGGGCACTGGTCAGCCACGCAGCCCAACTCTCCCTTTGTTCTGCTGCCAACATGTGCACAACAGCCCATGCGGGCAGGGCCCTGGACACCCCATCTGGGTGCCCCACTCCTCACGGGGGCTGCCTGCCAGGCGAGGCTTCTTGGCTTCCAAACAAATAAGCAGCAGTTTGGTCTTTGCTGCCGTCCCCTCCTTGTGCCTCCTTAGCTTAAATCTTAGCTGTCACTTCCATCACTCCCAGTTTGGCTGCCACAGTAAAATTCAAGTCTCACTAGGGGATCAAAGGCGCAGTAATGAAGTGAGGAATGATGTAAAAGTCAGGGCCCCTATTCCAGCGTTCCCGGTCAGGAAGGAGGCTGCTGGCTTCACGTGAAGGGGAGCAGTCCCTTTCCAGGCCAGGCTCCGCACAGCAGTTTCCTGGCCCTCAACAATGCCTCACTGGGAATAACGGGCAGGCCTTTGGTACAAATGGGGTTAACGGGCTTCTGTTGGCAGAAGGGTGGGTCAGGTTTCATGGGAAATGGCTTGATAGGTCACACACCTGTCCTTGCCTGTGGTCTGTGTGCCTGAGAAATGCATTGCAGGAATATTTTCTCAGCTTTATTCTTTTTACCTTCCCTCACATCCTCCTGTATGCTCTCTCGGCACATTCTTTCAGCTACTTCACTAAATGGTCCAGTAGACCCACTTGTTTCTCAGATCTCCACAGGTCAAAGCCCTGGTCTCTGCGGCCACTTCTGAGGCTACTAACACGCCTTACAGTCACAGTACTTTCTGAGAAGGCCCATAGTGTTTGGGGCTCTATTAAGAGCCTGGCCTGGTTCCTGCCCCTGAAAAGCTCAGATTCCAAAGGGAAGCTGCATATTCCAATGTGTTGTTTCTGTTAAACGCCTAGATGCACTGTCTGTGGGAATTTCTCCCAATGTATACTGTGTGCTGTGTTCCACACTTCCTTTTTCCACTTGAAGGGAAAGTCAGGCCCAAATTCTCTTGGCCATGGGATAAAACAAAAAAGCACAGACAGATACGTACAAGCATACCCTCACTTCTGGCAAGTGTGAGAGCACATGCAGCACATTTTATCTTGAGTCCATTTGACTTTTTTTTTAAAAACCACTTTCTAGTTCCCATCACTCTGCTCTTAATAAGAAGCTCTTAATAGTAAGTAGAACACGCTTGGTACTGGCGGTGCACACCTTTAATCCCAGCACTTATGGGGCAGGAGGATTTCTGTGAGCTCAAGGCCAGCCTGGTCTGCAAAGTGAGGTCCAGGACAGCCAGGGCTACACAGAGAAACCCTGTCTCAAAACACTAAAATAAGTAATATAATAGTGATTATTAGAGTTAGGATCGTGAATTAAATTACAATACTTGGAGAGAGACGCCTCCATATCCTCGCCCTCAATACAAACTGTCAAATCTTAGTGGAAGGCTTTCCGCCTCATTTTCAAAGGTTTTATGTGTCTAGCTACACAGTGTCTGGGATCTCAGCTCCATGTTCCTAGTATAACCCTGAACCCCACTTTCTAAGAGTTCTTCACTCAGTCTTCTCCTTGAATACCCGCCCCCCAGCTGATAAGTCAAAGCTCTTTCTGTTCAGATAGAAAAGATGGCGCCTTCACTGGATGCTAGGGGAGTTACCAATGCCCCCATCTCTGTGAGTGTTCTGGTCATGCAGGCATTTATCGTATAGTCCCATCCCGTACTCCCCTTGTGTTCTGAGAGATCAGAGGACAAGCCTGCACTTATCTGCTGTGGTTTGGATGGAATCCACCAGGTTGTGGGCACCACATGGGGCTCACTTGGCAAAGCTACTGGGATGCTTAGGAGCCTCAGGGCCATGGGCAAATTTCTGGGCTTACTGTTAATTCTATTCCCCAACTCTCATGGCCTCCAAGCCTCAACTTGTCCCTGCGACAGCTTGTTGTGTCTATGGCTGATGTTGCAGAACTTGGGAAGAAGCCTGTGCTAATGACACCACTACTCAGTGACACACAGACCCCGTGGTCTTTTTTCTGCCCCTCAGTCACGCTGGCCCGTGGGCAAGGAAGTAGAGGCACTGGGTACCTTTTCTGGCTGAATCCCTGGTACACAGCTTCATGGAAGGACTTGGGTGTGGCAATGACGAGGCAGAGGGTCCACGGCC